GTTGGATCCTGAGGTGTACTTGGTGGGAACCAAAGTGGATTTGGGTTTGGAAGGTGGCAGAAGGATTCGGTCTTGTTCCTGGAAGGAAGGGATGGATCGAGGCATTGTTGATTGTGCAAGAGGGGAAAGCTTGTCGAGTGTGTGCTGATGGAGGCATGGCATAGTAATGGTTCGTTTCTCCCAGTCGATATATGGGTTGTGTGAGCGGAGCCAGTCCATGCCAAGAATAATGGCATAATTGCCAAGTGCAATGAGTTGAAAAGTGTGTGTGGAAAAGTGTTGTGAGTGGGATTGCATAACCAATGTGGTGGCGTGATGAGAGGTATGTGTTGAACCATTGGCAAGAGAGATTTGTAATAAGTGTTGTGCTAGTGGAAGATTGTGCTGTTGTGCTAGATTTTGATGAATGAATGAGATGGTTGCTCCTGAGTCGATCATTGCATGGACTGGTAGTGAGGAGTTTTGGAAGTGAAGAGTAATTGGAATAGTAATAGGGGATAGCAGAGGATCATTTGGAGATTTGTTATACAGCTCGCCCAGACACACTCCAACTTTACTGTCTAGGCTGAATCTTTTTCCAATTGGAAAGAGATTGCATCGGGCTGGTCGCTAGTCTGTGTAGGCTGAAGGGCCGAGATCGAGGCTGTTGCCTTTGGGGCGTTCTTGAACGAGGGCTTTGCAGGTTTCTTGGGGCAGTCGTCAAGCCAATGATCTGCTGAACCACAGTAGGTGCACAGTCCTTCCTTTTGACGACGAAGACGCTCAGACGGTGGCAAAGGACCATGGCGAGCATGCGAGAGATCCATGTCCATCGAAGTGGTCGCGGGAGCTGAGGTAGCAGGGGTGGACGCGGTAGTTGGGGTGGATGAGGCTTGAGTGGTAGTAGAAGTGTGGGCAGTGGTGGAACGGGACGGAGTGCTGGAAGATTTGTTGCCGGAACGGGTCACTGCATAGCCGTACTGTCGGTTGTCGATGTCGATAGCCAATTGTGAAAACTCGGCAAAGGTAGGTGGCTCGGGGTAGTTTGCCATGGCTTCTTGAACAGACTCCTTCAGGCCGAGGCGGAACTGTGAAATCATTGCGCTATCATTCCATGCTGTATCCGCTGCAAGGTTGACGAAACGGTTTGTATAGTCGATGGCAGAACCGCGCTGTCTAAGTTGACGGAGTTGGGTTTCTGCTAGGACGTGAGCATTGGAGACTCCAAAGTTCTTACTCATAAGAGCAAAGAACTGATCCAGGTTAGAAATACATGCGGGTCTCTCCTCGACAGGCAACTTGAAGGACGGAACGTATCTCTGCATGTACTTGAACGCTGCAGTATCACCGAGGCGCGAGATAGCCAGCACAATGCGGTCGTGGTCGTTCGGATAGAGGGTCTCGTTTGCAACGAAGAAGAGTTCCAGCTGAGCCTGAAACCCTTTCCAATCTTCACGCTTTCCGGAGAAGACTGCGGGGGGTGCTACTTTTGGCCTCGAAGGGGAGCTATTGCTGGAGTGAGGTGTAGTTGATTGGAAGATGGCACTCACTGTGTTGGTGACATCGGTCTTGTGATCATAAAATAGTTTGCCTAGTTCTGCGCGAGTGATGGGTGGTAATTGTGACGTCATCTTCTGGACGTTGGATTCGAGGCTGAGTAATCGAGGGTTGAGGTTGACGGTCAGGCTTGTGAAGAAATCTTCGTTCGAAAGAATGAAGTCCAGCATATCACGGTACTTCTGAACAGTCTCCTCGAGTTCGGTGACTTTGGCTTGCAAGGGAGTGACCGTCTGAACTATTTGTTCAAGTGTGGCTACTCGGTCCATCAGTGCTTGGAAGCGCGCGTTGGCTGTAAGGATCTCACTATCGGGTAGCATTGTAGTTGATACGGAAAGTGAAGAGTTGTTGTAGTTTCTGAGGGTTGTGGGTTGTGTACGGAAGATGGTAGTAAAAGAGGAAAGAACTTGAAGAAGATAGGGTTTGGTTTTGTTGTGGAAAAGGCTTTTTTTTTTTTTTTTTTTTTTTTTGAGCGCTGAAGTATATCAATAGAAAACAGACAAAGTTTGATCCAAGGTTCTTTAGGTGTATGACTTGGTATTGTCAAGAAAGCAGACCAAGCAATAGAATGAAGTAGATAAAGAGAACCTTGATCAAGGACTAAGAAATGAGTATAAGGAATAGGTTAAAGAGTATGTTGTATTGGCGATACCAAGTAAAGAGCTATAGATTTGCTATCTAAGGCCCTTTTATACTCGTTAGGGCGAAGTCACAAGAGCAAGCTCTTGTCTCGTGACAATACCCTCCTTCCAGCCGCGGAATTTGCATATAATAACTCCGTCAACCACTCGACCGGCTATTCACCTTTTTTCCTCAACACCGGCCAACATCCCCGCATCCCCGCCAGTCTCCTCTCCCACATCGACAGCAACGTACCCAGCGTTCACAACTATCTTGATCAACAGTCGACAGCACTACTTTTCGCACAAGACGCACTACAACGAGCCCAGGATCATCAGAAGGAACAGGCCGACAAGAGAAGACGCGACCACGACTACAAGGTCGGCGACAAGATCCTCCTTAGTGCAGAGAACATCACCATGCCAGCCGACAGTGGACTCAGCTCGGATAAACTCAAACCTCGCTTCATCGGACCCTTTACATTGCTGGAGCAGCGATCACCAGTCACTTTTCTAGTCGACCTACCGCCCTCCTACAACATCCACAATGTCTTCCACGTCGACCTCTTCCGCCATCACATCGAGTCACCACTTGCATTTGGCCGGCGAACATTAGCACCACCACCACCAGTTGTCATCGAGGGCAATGAAGAATACGAGGTCGAGTCCATTTTGCGTTACAGGAAATACCGACGGCAACACCAGTTCCTTGTGTCATGGAAAGGGTACGGACGGGAGGACCAAACGTGGGAGCCCGTCGCCAACCTGGAGAACTGCCGCGACCTAGTTGACGCGTTCAAAAAGGACCAGGGGATCGTTTTTTAAAAGGGGAAGGTGCAACAGTTGAACCTCCGATCAGAGTAGCTTTAGATAAATAGACACACACTACCATAATACATCCACATCTCTTACTTCCACTCCTCCTAAAGTTGCAAAAACACTTCCAACAACTGCTTGATGACCATTGGACTTTCCTCAACGCTGGATGGCCAACAATTACACCACGTAATAATCATCGTACTGTAAGCAAGGAAATTGGGTATATGCCAGAAATAAAAGAAACCCTAAATCGACGCCTTGGTCCTATTCCAGTGTACTTCTTTCTTGTTGACATCTGGCCAAAGGTTAAGTATCCTGGTCCATACAAAGAAGTGGAGAAAGGTCTTTTAATGCTCTATCATCTTGTCAAAGGACTGTCTATGGAAGCAATGGAACCACACATGCCAAAAAGTAGTTTTCATGCAATGCACTCTGTGTTTTATAAGAAAGAATATACTTTGCACAACAAGTACATCACCAACTGTATTGCAACAATGTTCTCCACAATTAAAATACGCCTATTGTCTGCAAAGGAAAAGAATCCTCCATTATTTAAGCATGTTACATTGCATCTTGATGGTCATGATACAAGAGCAACATACAAAGGTGAGAGCAGTGCTGATATGTACTCTTACAAGCTGAAAAAGTCAGGATTACGCACACAGGTAGCAATGGATTGTAATGGCATGGCTTTATTTGTCTCCAAATCTGCATCTTGCAAGAACAATGCTGATGGAACAATGCTGCTAACGATGAAGTTGGACAAGAGAGTGCATGAGATGGATTGCATTGCTCTCGATGGAGGGTATCCACAGTTCTTAAGGAGGCTTATAGATGAGTCTGATACTCTTAAAGTCCAAAATTTCGCTCATCCATACCGTAAACAGAAGAACAAGGAACTTACACAGGAAGAAGCGTTATACAATACCACCTTTGGTAGTTTCCGCTCGCAGATGGAATCTCTGTTTGCAGACCTTGGTTCCACATTTGAGAAACACAACAACCGTACTCCTGTGTTGGTGGATAAGAAACAAACATATAATTTGCAGTTGAAGTTATCTTTGTTACTCTTAAACATGAAAAAGATGGTTGCTTTGTTGAAGATTTCTGCAGAACCAATTCATACAGCTTGGCTTCGCGAAGGATTCGAGTATCCGACGACAGAGAACGACGTTGAGCAACCAATGGGATATGTTGATGTTGGTGCGCTAGTGGAGGATGGAAATACAATGGCACAACTCCAGAACAAATTTCTTGGTATTAATCTTCATGGTGATGTTGATGTTAATGTTGATGAGGACACACCAATGGATCAAGCAGTAATAATGCAACCCGGTCTTTCCATTGAGCTTAGAGGTACGAAGCGACAAATGGATGTTAATGGTAATCTGTAGACTTATTGCAGGTTTTTAAAAGAATAGACATACATAGCCTATTTAGTCAGCTTTAAGATACGGTATTAACTGCCAAGACGCTAATATGCACCGGTATCTATTATTAAAAGCCATGGTATTATTGTAGTAGATCGGATGCTATTCTATGCTATTCTACAGCATTCCTTTTTATTTAACACAGAGGATAAACACATGTACAAACCTACGTCATAAAATAATACTACATTCTTAACCATTTTTAAACCCCGTCTTTAATGCCAAGCAGTCTTAATAAGCAAGATCTACGTCATACGAGGAACACTACATTATTAACCACTTAGATGCCTTTTTAAAACTCTTTTGTTACTAAGCGCCAAGCAGTGCTAATAAGCAAGCGCTATTAATGTCCATTGTGGCAGTGTTCCTGAATTAGTATAAATAAAGGAGTCCACTTCCCTCTTGCTTAATCTTTATCTAGTAACCAACCAACAATTATCCATATCTATACAACCATCCATACCTATACAACCATCTTTTATTGCAATTCTTTATATCAGTGTACTAAGCAGCTGCAATCTACCACACATAAACTGAAAAGTCATTCACACCCACCATACCACAAGTACAATCCATATTATTCATATCCAAAAACATGAAGTACGTTCAGCTTACAATCGAGCTCATCACCAAGGCCTTTGAGACATTCTCCTCTAAGAAGGGAGTGGAGTTTACCAAGAAAGATGCAAATAAGATCTTTAAGGCGCTTGATGAGGATGAGGAAGTAGAGAGATACTACTTTTGTGGAGAAAAGTGCACCAAGTCCAAGCGCAAATGCATGAAGGAAGTTGATGATGAAGGCATACATTGTTATGTCCACGATCCTGCGCGCAAGTGTCAAGGCACAACTATTAAGGGTGCTAATTGTGGTAGTGTAGCCAAACTTGGTCAAACATACTGTGGACGTCATCAAGATCAAGATAGAGGTTATATAAAACGTAGTAACAACAACGCACCTGTCGACAAGCGTACTAAGTCTTCCAAGGCTTTAAAGAAGACACATACTTCTAAGTTTGTGTCTTCCGATGACGATATGACTTCCGAGGATGAAGAACCAAAGAAGCGAAAGAGAAACAAGCAGGAGTCATCGGATGAAGAGCCGTCCGATGATGATGATGAAGAAGATATAATTGCCGTCTCCTTTCCGTTGAGTCCAAAGGTAGTTGACATAACGTCCAAGAAAAATGTACCACTCGCTAATACATGTATATGGACGCGTTATGCAACTAATCCAGCTTTCCTGTATGCAAAAAGCTTTACTGTAAATGGCAAGTACATTATTAGGCTAAAGGAAAAGAATCTCTACATTGCATTGTGTCCACCTAAGCTCATGGGCAAGAATCTCCCTGCGCCAGAAATATCTGAGAAAGAGGCACGCATATTGGCCAAGATGGGTCTTCAAGAGGCAACTTCAGCAGATGTAGAAAAAATAGAAGAGTCTTCTGCTGATGAGAATTCTGACGATGATACAGATGATGGTGATACGTCTGATAATGCTGACTCTGAGGATGATTCCTCTAAAGATAAAGACTCTGATGATGGCAAGTCCAATAACAGACCTGATGTAGAATCTGGAGATGATACCTCTAAGGATAACCCTGATGAAAAACTATCTCATAAAAAGCCATCTAAGGATGATGAGAAGAAGACTTCTCGAAAGAAAAGGCATTCAGAGATGCCCAAAAATGCAGAGCCATCTTCTAATGTAGATGTTTCTAAGGATGAAAAAGATGAACACACATTTGCACTGGCCACAACGGCGCGTAACATTAGATCAGAGAAAGACATACCACTTGCAAAGGATGGAGGATGGATGGTTCATCCTAATAACGACATGCTTGAGTATGCAACTAACTTTACGATGAAGGCTAAGTACATTGTCAAGCTATGTGGAAAGAATACATACGTTGGCCTGTTTACGCTTGATCATCTGCGTGGCGGTGGTGATGTTCCAGAGATGGATATCTTGGAACGCTCCATGCTTAGCAAGATGAAACTTCAAGAAATGTCTGATGAAGAGAGAAAGATGCTTTTCAACGAGGAGGTCGAAGTAGAAGAGGAACTACCAGTGGAAGGACCGACAGATATATCCAAGATGAAATGGAAAAGGTTTCACAAGCAGCAATTGGAGTATTCCAAGAATGTACTTGTAAATGGAAAGCACATTCTCAAGATCCGCAAGCAAAACATTGTAGTTGGCTTGGTGACTGATGACCACATTGGTGCAGAGAATGTCGACTATGATAATCTTAACCAAAAGGAAAAAGAAAAGATCTTTGCTATGGGCTTTAAGCCACAATGGTCTAAGGATAGGTCGACAGAGAAAGGTGAACCGGTAGAAAAAATAGATGATGAGGTGCAAGAGTCGAATATTAAGGAAACTTTAGATGAACTTGTAGAAAAAGTAGATGATGAGGTGCAAGAGTCGGATGTTAAGAAAACTCTAGAAGATGGTGGACCTATGGAAAGCGAAAATGTGAATGCCTCAAGTGTTTACACTACAAAAGACCATCATGATTTTCTGAAGGCAATGGGAGAAGTATATAGCAAAATAACAGCTATCGAAGAAGAACTCCGCGAGGAATACGTTTCGGCAGATGGTAATGCAGAAGAAAAAGAACTAATTTTTCACCTAGGTTTGTTGGAGAAAGATTATTCCAACTACGAAACATGGCACATGGATAAGTTTGGTTCCCGCGAACCACATTCCGATATATTATGTAAGTTTGCAAAAGAAGGATCTAACAACAGAAAAACCATAGTGCAAAGTGTATTAGATAGTATTCAAGCCAAAGAGAAAAGTACGATGGAAGAAAAGAAGCCTCTTGAAGTAACATTTGAGACCGCAGAAGAGTAGATCAAGAATTTTAAAAACTGTAGATATACCACTTGCACAAATAAAGCTTTTATATATGGAATACACATGTAATATTATCCTCGTCCCTTCCAATGAGATTCACCAGATATATTACCCATCTTTTTAAAAACTTCCACCATCCTTTGCACAATTTACAATATTTCTTTCTTGATCACAGTGGTGTTTATCCACAATCTACTTATATTTAACATTACGAAAATTACAATAACTATATCTAATATGTTCTACAATGCATGCACTCTTTATGACATTTATTTTTTCACCATTGGCATGTTTACCAACGATCTGTATAGGAGGCCGCATATCAACAAATATTATAACAATCGTAACTTCCTACAAAGTATGTTACATCAAACATTATAAAAACCACGATAACTTCATCTGAGACGTTCCACAATGCATGCACCCTCACCATTATTGCATTACCCATATTTTTTTAAAACATTCACCTAGGAGGCCTTTCAGGTCCAAGTTATCATATGGTGTTTGTTACATCTCTGTAGATCTCGACAATATCCATAGCGACTATGGGATGAGAATGTATATATGATACCAAGCATATAAGACAACCATTGTAACATTTTTTGTTTAACTATCCTACTAAACACCAACCTATTCTCCAAACAACAAAGTCTTCTTATTTTTCGCACACCACACTCTTGAATATGTCCATCTACTATTAACCTGTAACCCTCACTGCAAGATTCGCCAGAGTAGTTCTTGTATGTCATCATCTAAAGCACTTGTACTCTCAACTGTATCTTTGGGGCGAAATACAGGGGAGAGATTACATTTTAAAAAAACATGTGCTGTCTATTGCTATTTTATTCTGTGTTCTGTTGCCCACTATGAAGAGATATGTCAGTTATGGAAGTAAACACTCCGTTCCTTGGGCTTTGGATATTTTTTATATGCCTTTTTATATCCTCTGCACATGAAGGGGCCGCTAAGCAAAAGTGCGTATGCGTATCCCACAGAAAGCGAAGTGCGTGTCCCCTAGGAGGATCTGCTGACCAAGAAATGCTAAATAAGCAAAGTGGGAGTCCTCTAGAACCTCTAGAATCCTCCAGCAACAACCTTTTCTTCTCTAATAACTTGCTTGCTGCTACTCTTTTCCTCGCTTTTGTGCTTTTTTTTTTTTTTTTTTTTGCTCCTTTATTCCTCACTACAGTCTTTCATCAGCCACAACTCCAAATTTCATTTTCATCACATCTGTCACCATTCAACATGCCTTCCACTCGCCGTGCTCCTCTTACCTCCACCTCCAGTATCGATACCTCTTCAACTACAGCCTTTACAGGATACAAGCGGGTTAGAGCGACCAACTCAACAAGGTCGCAGCCCACCAAGTCCGTCAGGTTCTCTTCCCTTACCACCACCAGGCGTACGGCTGCCACTAAATCTACTGTTACCACTCCCTCCTCTCCTTCCTCGCTTCCCATCAATAGCACTATCACCACACCCAATGCAATCGCTTCTTCTTCCTCCTCCTCTTCCCCTATTAGCAGGTGTAGCAGGTGCCGTGGAAACGATCACCAAAGGTCAACAAGTCGTCGCTGCCCATACTTTAAAGGGAAGCAAACGACAAGTGCAAGGATCTGCCATTCCCAGAAGCGTCACTCCAACAACTGCGACTACCTCGAAACCACCTTTGACACCGTTTCGGACGAGAGTATCCTCGCTGCACGACCCGCGTCTTTCACATCAAGCTGAAGGAACTCCTGCATGATCTGTTGAAAAACCATGTCCTCGGAAAGGTCGTCGGCATGATTCATGTCATTGAGTTCCAGAAGCGTGGACTCCCCCATGCACACATTCTGCTCATCATGAGCCCCGAGCACAAGCCTGGATTGCCTGAGGACTACGACAAATACATTTCTGCCGAGATTCCTGACCCTGCAACTCATCCGGCCGCCTATGAGACTGTTGTGAAATCCATGATCCATGGCCCATGTGGACCGGCAAACAGGAACTCTCCATGCATGGAGAACGGCGTGTGTACCAAAGGCTATCCCAAGCCCTTCCTCGCAACCACCACAAACGGACCAAATGGATATCCGCAGTACCGGCGCCGCATGGATGGAAGGACAGTCAGGATCGATGGCCGGGGAGATTTCGAGATTGACAACCGTTGGGTCGTTCCGCACAACCCTTATCTGGCTGCAAAGTATGGTGCCCATATCAATGTCGAGAGCTGCACCTCTTCCACTGCGGTCAAGTATCTTTACAAGTACGTCTACAAGGGTCATGATCGAGCCACTGTTGTGGTTCAACAGCCGGCACAAGACGGAGCTCAAGCCGGAGCCGGAGATCTACCTGTGCCAGAAGTCAACGAGATCATTGATTTCATCGACGGTCGCTATGTCTCTGCCTTCGAGTCTTCTTGGCGCATATTCGGTTTCCGCCTACACAGTGCCTATCCATCCGTCACCAGGTTGCATTTGCATCTTCCCGGCCAGTTCATGCACGCCTTCCGCTCGGACGAACCCATCGCCGATGTCCTAGAGAGAGCCGCACTGGAGCGCAGTACGCTGACTGCATTCTTCGACTATAACCGCAACCATCCTGACGAACCGCCATCAAAGTACCACGACTTTCCTCAAACCCACGTTTACCTCAAGAGGGAAAAGCGATGGAAGCTCAGAGAGAGAGGATGTACAGTCGGCCGACTCTTTTTTGTGCATGATACCGCAGGCGATCTGTTTTATTTGCGGTTGCTACTACTCTCGGTGCCAAGTCCTATATCGTTTGAGGGCCTAAGAACAGTCGAAAACGAGGTCCACCCCACGTTCAAGGCCGCCTGCATCGCCCTTGGCATGCTTCAAGATGATCGCGAGTGGGTGAACTGTCTTCGGGATGCCGCAGTCAGCCAAACGGGATACCAACTCCGCTCCCTTTTTGCAAAGATTCTTGCCTTTTGCAACCCGACAAATCCTGCTCAGCTTTGGACCACCTTTCGCGATGCACTGTCTGATGATCTCCGTCCAAGGGAACGTGACGCTACCAGCCTTGAGCAGCGACAATCCTTTGCAGACCAGCGTGCAAATGCTGCCTTGATCCACTTACAAGTCCTCTTGAGGAACCTCGGCAAGACTCTCCACGACTACGAAGGCATGCCCGAGCCCATCATACTGGAGCAGCATGGTCCCAACGTAAATGCATTTATTGCAGACGAGTTGAATTACCCTTTGCCCAGCGCAGAAGATTTCGCCATGATGGAGCAGTCACTCAACGCGAATCAGAGGGAAGCATACAACCGAATCAAGCACTCCTATGAGATGAACTCTTCCGAGGCGTACTTCATCGATGGTCCTGCAGGTACAGGAAAGACCTTCCTGTACTCCCTAATCCTGTCTATGGTCCGGTCGAATCGCGATATCGCTCTTGCCGTTGCTGGATCTGGAATCGCCGCATTACTCCTACAAGGCGGAAGAACCGCTCACTCGCGCTTTAAGATTCCCGTCCCTACCCACGAGGATAGCGTTTGTTCAGTCAACCACAGGTCAGAAATTGCCAATCTTCTCATCCGGGCCAAGATCGTTGTCTGGGACGAGGCTCCGATGATGCATCGGCATATCTTTGAGGCTGTAGATCGCACTCTCAAAGACCTGATGAAGACTGTGGACCCTGCGAACGAACATCGTCCCTTTGGAGGAAAGCTCATGGTCTTTGGCGGCGACTTCAGGCAGATTCCTCCAGTCGTTAAGCAAGGCCGCAGAGAGGAAACCATTGGAGCCTGCTTTAAAAGATCTCCACTCTGAAAAATATAGCGTACCTTGGAGTAAGTGAGAAAGAAGATCGGGGATCGTTTATTACTAAGTCTAGGGTTTAAATACTAAGGGACACTGCCCTTAATTATCTCACTGAGTACGCTTCTTGATAATGTACAGTCACGAAAATGCGACAGATTTCCTCTCCCTTTGAAGAACGAATTATGAGTTCTTGGATTTCAAAGGCATGTAGTGGATGGACATAATTTATGTCTTACTTCGATTGCGGGTCCGCCTGCGTTTACGCCTTGGCGGCAATAATGATTCTTCTTCTTCATGTTGTTCTTCGTCTTGTTGTTCTTCTTGTTCATCATCAGAATCTGCAGGGGAATCGGCTGTTATCAGAGGATTTGGTTGTTCATTAATGTTTTCTTTATCTTTCCAGTAGGAAGTAAGAGAAGATCGTTCAACAAAGTTCTCTTCTGGTTCCCAGGTGTTGAGCTTGTTGGAATAGTTTTTCCATTTGACGAAATATTCTTTCTTCGTACTGTCATGTGTATGTTGCCTATGTGCTACCACTTTTTCCACCTCATAGGTGTCTGATTCATCGGCGTTGTCAAGGACCAGTTTGAGTTGAGATGGTGCGTATGATCTTTCTAAAATAGCGCCAGTTCCATCTTTAAGGATATATGCGCCACCCGCGTTGCGGTTGACTACTGTGTATGGTCCTTCATATCTTGGTGATAATTTTTCGCCGAGAATTGGATTAAGTGTCATCACTTTGGCTCCATCGGGGAACTCGTTGAGTAATACTGTACGATTGAACCTCTCTATCATTCTCTTTTGAGTGTTCTCTGTATTTTCTTTGATTGCTGGAAAGACTGTTTTGGTCATGTACTCAAGTCGTTCAAGAAGTTTATCTTGTGTTAATGGATTGTTTTTCTCATCACAGAAGTGGCTGAAACCGTTGTTTTGACGTGCAAAGAAGAGTGAAAATGGAGATGAGTTGTGTAGTGATACAATGCGTGTGTTCATCGATAATTGAATGAAAGGAAGGTGTTCGTCCCACATATGCCCCTCCTCGAGAACTTGTTTTCTGATCATTTGTACGGCTGTTTTGACATGGTTTTCGGCCACACCATTGCCCATTGCCGCGAGGGTGGTAAGGGGTAATAAGACGATGGTCGATGCACATTTTTGTGGTCAAAAGTTTTGTAATTGTATTGACGAATTCTCCACCATTGTCAGATTGAAGTATTTTAGGAAAGC